GGCTCGCGATCTATCAATTACACTAGCCAGGTCGCTCTCCCTATTGAACATTATTACTCTCTCCCGTCGCCACTGCGGTTTCCGCGACAGCAGCAGCATCATCATGATGTTGCATCCACCAATTAGTCCGGAACCGGGTTATTCGGCTGTCTGCGAACAGTCCGGTTTTAACCTTACCCAACATCCACTCTCGAGGTGCGGTACGGTGAATGTCCTATCGTCCGACCTTGTATGCTGGATTGCACTATTTCACTATATTAAGGGGAGAGGGTGCCTTCACACACATATTCGGTGTGAAATATCTTCCGCCCCCCAGCGGAGCGCTTCGGCGCCTCTGCGAAGCAAAGCGCGGCATTCAAAAACAACAAACAAAATTGCCGTCGCTTCCCTGCCCTGCAATGGCTGGAGCAGAAGGAGAGAGAGAGAGATTTTAGTCTCATTGGATCAGAGGAATGGCAGTGGAGCGGGCTTATGGCGAGTAGGCTCGCGCTCTATCAATTACACTTGCCAGGTCTCTCTTCCGTTTGGACATTATTTACTCCGTCTCTCTCTCTCTCTCTCTCGGCGCACACGTCGCCACCCTACTAGTTTCCGTCTCAGCATATGCTGCGGCCTTTCAGTCCGGAACGGGGCTCCCCTTCGCCTTGCTGTCTGCCCAACTTAGCGGACTTGCGTTGGCTGATCACCCCGTCTTCGCGTCTGTGCCGGCCTTCAATGCAGCGCCCAACCGTCTCTTGACCGAGATTCATTGCACTATTCCACGCGCAAACGGCTACCCTAAATGTGCATAGACAACGCTCATGGTTCAACACGACCAGGGCGCAGTCTGGGAGCCGAGTATACTAAAAAGAGAGTTTAGCAACCAAAACTCGTCAAAGCACACGTTGGGTTACCCCATCACCTAACAACGATGATGGCGGTTCCCACCCGTGAAATACACAACCTAACCAATATTGGGCGACGATGGCGCTCATGAGCCCACGTCCCCACAAACAGTAAGAGAAAGAGAGAGAGGAGGAGATGGGCCAATGTGCGGTCCCTCGCCCAATGTCTTATGCCTCGCTGGGGCAAAGAGAAGAGAAGAGGAGCGGATAAGGGAGGAGATTGGTCAACGTGCGGTCCCTCGCCCAATGTCGGCTGCCTCGCTGGAGCTGGGTAAAGAGGAGAGGAGCGGATAAGGGAGGAGATTGGCACACACGGTGGCGCTGCCGGCGCCGAGGATAGCAAGAGAAGGTGCAGTTTGATCTGATCATCTGGTTTGCTATTTCTCTAAGGCCAACGTGCGGTCCCTCGCCCAATGTCGGCTGCCTCGCTGGGGCAAAGAGAAGAGGAGAGGATAAGGGAGGAGATTGGCACACACGGTGGCGCTGCCAGCGCCGAGGATAGCGAGAGAAGGTGCAGTTTGATCTGATCATCTGGTTTGCTATTTCTCTAAGGCCAACGTGCGGTCCCTCGCCCAATGTCTTCTGCCTCGCTGGGGCAAAGAGAAGAGGAGTGGATAAGGGAGGAGATTCGCCAACGTGCGGTCCCTCGCCCAATGTCGGCTGCCTCGCTGGAGCTGGGGCAAAGAGGAGCGGATAAGGGAGGAGATTGGCACACACGGTGGCGCTGCCGGCGCCGAGGATAGCAAGAGAAGGTGCAGTTAGATCTGATCATCTGGTTTGCTATTTCTCTAAGGCCAACGTGCGGTCCCTCGCCCAATGTCTTCTGCCTCTCTCTCAATCTCACTATTTTGGCCGCCGTGATAAGCGCCGCCAACAGCAGCAGCTACCTGGTTGATCCTGCCAGTAGTCATATGCTTGTCTCAAAGATTAAGCCATGCATGTGTAAGTACAAGCCGATTTAAGGCGAAACCGCGAATGGCTCATTAAATCAGCTATGTTTCATTGGATCTGTAAAGCCACTTACTTGGATAACTGTGGCAATTCTAGAGCTAATACATGCAATTGGTCTCTGACCGCAAGGGAAGAGCGCTTTTATTAGTTCAAAACTGGTCGGGCCCCGGTCCGTAACCCACCTGTGGTGAATCTGAATAACTTCGGGCTGAGCGCACGGTCTCCGCACCGGCGCCGCTTCTTTCAAGTGTCTGCCTTATCAGCTTTCGATTGTAGGTTATGCGCCTACAATGGCTATAACAGGTAACGGGGAATCAGGGTTCGATTCCGGAGAGGGAGCCTGAGAAACGGCTACCACATCTAAGGAAGGCAGCAGGCACGCAAATTACCCACTCCCGGCACGGGGAGGTAGTGACGAAAAATAACGATGTGAGTCTCATCCGAGGCCTCGCAATCGGAATGAGTACACTTTAAATCCTTTAACGAGTATCCATTGGAGGCAAGTCTGGTGCCAGCAGCCGCGGTAATTCCAGCTCCAATAGCGTATATTAAAGTTGTTGCGGTTAAAAAGCTCGTAGTTGGATCTCAGTTCCGGACTGACGGTGCACCGCCGGTGTTTACTGTCACGCTCGAACAACCGCCCCCGCTCGCGGGATGCTCTTTGTCGAGTGTCCCGAGTGGCGGAGAGTTTACTTTGAAAAATTAGAGTGCTCAGAGCAGGCTATTTGAATGGCCCGAATGGTGATGCATGGAATAATGGAATAGGACCTCGGTTCTATTTTGTTGGTTTTCGGAACCAGAGGTAATGACTAATCGGAACAGGCGGGGGCATTCGTATTGCGCTAGAGGTGAAATTCTTGGACCGTCGCAAGACGAACTACTGCAAGCATTTGCCAAGGATGTTTTCATTAATCAAGAACGAAAGTTAGAGGTTCGAAGGCGATCAGATACCGCCCTAGTTCTAACCATAAACGATGCCAACTAGCGATCCGCCGGCGTTATTCCCATGACCCGGCGGCAGAAACCAAAGTCTTTGGGTTCCGGGGAAATATGGTTGCAAAGCTGAAACTTAAAGGAATTGACGGAAGGGCACCACCAGGAGTGGAGCCTGCGGCTTAATTTGACTCAACGGAAACCTCACCAGGCCCAGACACGGAAGGATTGACAGATTGAGCTCTTTCTCGATTCGGTGGGTGGTGGTGCATGGCCGTTCTTAGTTGGTGGAGCGATTTGTCTGGTTAATTCCGATAACGAACGAGACTCTGGCCTACTAAGTAGTCGACGGATCTCCAGAAAATGGTGTCCAGTTCGCAACTTCTTCTTAGAGGGATAAGCGGCAATTCTAGCCGCACGAGATTGAGCAATAACAGGTCTGTGATGCCCTTAGATGTTCTGGGCCGCCGCTACACTGAAGGGATCAACGAGTTTTCCCCCTCGAGAGGAGCGGGTAACCCGTTCAAAGCCTTTTCTTGATAGGGATTGGGGCTTGCAATTGTTTCCCATGAGCGAGGAATTCCCAGTAAGTGCAAGTCATCAGCTTGCGCTGACTACGTCCCTGCCCTTTGTACACACCGCCCGTCGCTACTACCGATTGAATGATTTAGTGAGGCCTTCGGACTGGCGCTCTTGGATTGTCGGCCCCGTTGCCCGCGAGGGTTTTCTGGGGTCGTCGCCTCGAGCTGACGGAAAGATGTCCAAACTTGATCATTTAGAGGAAGTAAAAGTCGTAACAAGGTTTCCGTAGGTGAACCTGCGGAAGGATCATTAACAGAGAGAAAGAGAACGGGGCGCTCTTAAAACTACTACTACTACTCTCCTGATTTGGGCGGTCTCAGGCTCTGCTCTGGCAACTCCAGCAGCGAAAGAGGACAATCCCGGCCCCCGCACCAAAAATAGGTACCACCACGCTGTAGGTGGACCACACTCGGGCGAGAGCGCGAAGACCGGAGGAGGAGGACGGACGGGGCTTTGGACAGCAATACCAGATACATCGACAAGTTGAGCGCATATTGCGGCGGCGGCAGCCATATGAGCTTGTCGCCGCCACTCCTCTACGAGGGTCGGAAATATACATCCATCGGTTGCTGCGAGTTCGGTGCCTGCTGACTGTCTCCCCGACACGAGGGTAACCCGAACCGAGCTTCCGCCTTGGGGTTTAATCGCCCGCGCCTTGCGCGAGGCGTGCCCTTAAAAACAAGCAAGCCTATCACTAGCAAGTCCATGGACTTGGCGCACCCCCATTCAACCACAACAAAGCGACAGTTGTCGCCCTCGCAAATAACTGGAGGCGGCGCTCTTTTGCCTGCTGTCCACAGAGACACGAATGGCCGTCGGCCGCTCATGGCTGATGCTGCACATGTTCTAAGAGGCACTCCATCCCACGAAGAGGAAACGAAACCGGGTCGGATATCTTTTAAGTAAGCCCCGCCGGAATTTCGTCTATCACCTCGAAAAGA